TTAAGGTAAAGCTCAGAATCCCCCCACCGCCCAGCCCTCCCTTGAGGCCCCTCTCCTCCGAGGATTCAATTTTCATCATGTATGGTTTAGGGTTTAGGGGTTTAGGGTTTAGGGGGATTTAGGGTTTAGGGTCTAGGGTTTAGGGTTTAGGGGTTCAGGGTTTAGGGTTTAGGGTTTCAGTGTACAGACTGCCAATCCGTGGAGTCTCCTACGCTCAGGCTCCGAGCCAATGCGCTCGGCGAAACCTGGGCGCGCGGCACGATCCTCGTCGCGATCCGCGAGACGAAGGAGGACGGACCTCACTACCCGGCTTTCGCTGTGGGCACGACCCTCGTGGCGACGGGCCCCCCGTTCGTGGACGACCGCGACGACGCCACCTACATCGGCGTTGTCGCCGGCGACGGCGGCCCGATTGAGGATCTGGCTCCAATCCACGCGACGTCCGGAATATCGGGCGAGTATCGATGGATTGTCGCAGCGCCAGGCAGCGCCCCGCCGGATCAGATCATCAGCCGCCAGCTAAGCAACCCGTGCTTTTACCTACGGCAAGAAGCCTTTCGACTCAAGCAGCCACTTCGTTCACAAACCGCGTTACATCAAGATCTGCGACCTTGACGCTACAGCCCCTCTGATCTTTGAGTGAGCTGAGATGGTAAGGTCAGGGACTTGTAGGTTGTAGGGGTTGAGGTTGAGGGATGGGTTAGGGCTAAGGGGTTTGGCCTAGGCCTTTGTTTGGGTGCAGGTTTCTATACGGTGGTGTATGGGGTCCAACTAGGGGTTGCACAAGAGTCTCAATGGTAGGAGTTCTGCAGAGTCTTGCTGAGAGCTCTATAAGTCCTTGAGTTTCTAGGGTTTGGGGGGTTTCCGAAAGCCTTTATCCCTAAACCCTATAAGCGTCAAGCCCTGAGACCCTAAAGCCCCGGTTTTGATGCCTAAACCCTAAACCCTTAAGGGTTTAGGGTTTAGGGGTTCCCTAAGTTTTGAGATTTGGGGAGAGCGGGCCATCTCAAGAGCAGTAGAATTGGAACTTACTTGGAGGGCCGGAGGACTTAGTAAGCAATGTAGGGGCCCAAATAGTTGACTATACTGTTTTGGGAGTTGCTTATTAGAATTCTAGTATAATGGCCCCGAAACCCTATTCCAATTATTAAGGCCCCTATAGTAGTGTTCCGTGAAGGGCTCCTTAAAGGGATCTATAAGGGTCTATTATCATAACCCCCATTAGGATCCATTTCTGGCTACATATAGCTCTACTTAATATCTGCTTCAGAAGTCCCGACCCTCCAAGCTTAAGATGCAATTGCCGGGTTCTTCGTGGGTTCTTATCATAAGACACGTACAACAGGGGCCCTACAAAACAAGTCGGATTAGGTTAAAGTAGACCTTGAACCGAAGTCGCCCTACACGTCCAAACTCCCTTTTTACTTGTCTAAAAACAGCACCTCAAGCTCAAATTCTGAGCTGAACCTCAATGTTGAGAACCCTAAACCAGCACCCTAACCTGTAACCCCTAAATCCCAAACCCGAACCCTGACCCGCTGAACCCTGAAACCCCAAACACTAAACCCCTAAAACCCTAAACCCCTAAACCCTAAGCCCCTAAGCCCCTAAACCCCTGAACCCGTAAACCCTAAACCCCTAAACCCCTGAACCCTTAAACCCTGAACCCCTAAACCCCTGAAGCCAAGCCTAATCCCTAAAACCCTAAAGCCCTAAACCCCTAAACCCCTGAAGCCTAATCCCTAAAACCCTACAGCCTTAAACCCCTAAAGCTCTTAACCCCTAAACCCCCAATCAGACAGGTCATTGAGCCGTTGGAATCCCTCGCCTCCATCGAGCGCCAGGCGCCCCGCAAGGTTTAAGCCTCGAGACAGTTCTTGGAGGGTCGGGGGACTTAGTAAGTGGATATTAAGTAGACTTATAAGTACCCTAAAAGGGATCCCAATTGGGGTTATGGTACTTATAAGTCTATAAAAGAACTAGTTACTAAGTCCCCCGACCCTCCAAGCAGGGCTTAAGGTAAGTTTCGGGTCTTATTAAGACTATACTGCGATCTACCCCAGACCCCCATTCTAAGTATGAAGTCTTGTACGCTGTAGTCCTTGCCATATAGGAAGTGCCTGGTATATTTTGGGTTTAGGGGGTATCGTATAAGTATATTATGGTGGCTTGAAGGGGTCATTTTCAAAAGTTGCGATCTGTATACTAAGCCTGCCTTTGCGGGAACCCTATGCCCAAGAACTGGTGTGCTGGTTGTGGCTTGTTCTGAATCGAAACCCTAATGCACACTTTGACAACCCACATAACCCAACAAGAGCTTTCTCTGAGAAGTCTGATGAGACTCGGAAATCCTTGGAGTAAGCCCCTAAACCCTAAACCCTAAACCATATAGATTATCTCAAGTCATAACAAGGAGCCCCTACAATTTAGGGTAGTCTACTGGCATTCAACCCCGAGAGCCCATATACAACACTCCTTAAAGGCCTAATTAACGTTTTAGGGTTTAGGGTTTAGGGTTTAGGGTTTAGGGTTGTTTCTGTGGAATCTTTGAGGTGTGTATAGATTACTTTTCATTGGAGTGAGGGCTCAGAGTTAGGGTATGTCGTGGCTCGCACAATTCTACAGGTACTGAAGCTTGTGGTGAGAGAAAGAAGTAGGCCTTCAACCCCAACTTCCAAAAGCTCTAAATCAGTCTAGATCCTTCAGCCCCTAAACCCTAAACCCTAAACCCTAAACCCTAAACCCTAAAGCCTAAATTAGTAAGATCACCAGGAGAAGGATGCCCAAGTTGATATCGTGGCCATCATTGCCGAGGCCTCGCCGGCAGAGCATTTAAGAGATACTTGGTTGAGGAGTTGAGGGTTCCTATAAGCGGTTTAGGGTTTAGGCTTTAGGGTTTAGGGTCTTCAAGGACTCTAGAACGAGGTTACTTGGGTTAAGTTTTAGTGGGAGAGGAGGAGGACCATCATCGTCATCATCGTCATCGTTATCATTATCATCAGCATCATCATTACCAGCTTCGTCATCCAAGATGATGACGATGAGGGTGGCGGTCGCAGCAGTGCTGTGCGGCTGCTGCTGCTGCTGCTGCCGCTGCTGCTGCTGGCAGTGGTGGTGGTGGTGGTGGTGGTGGTGGTGGTGGTGGTGGTGCTCATGGTGGTTGTGGTGGTGGTGGTCGTGGTGGTACATTATTGTAGCGATTGTTCACTTGCGCAAATGCTGCGCAATCTGAGAAAGCACAGGCCGAACCACCGACGGAGTACATCAAGAAGAAGGCCGCTGCAGGGTGTAAGGCATTGTTTAATGTAGGGGCCTTAACAATTAGAGTATGGTCAAATCCCTAATCTACTCATTAAGGCGCCTATATTAGCGCGAATTGAAGTGAGTTGATTTTCGTACAGCGGGTTCCCTGACTCTCTCTTCTTCGCCCAGAAGATTCCCATCGCAAAGCCCATGTTTCACGATCTTTGCGTTTCATAGCCTTAACTGAACTCTCGCTCTTGTGCTTGAAACTGTTTGGTTCAGCGTGCTTGCAGGTTTGATGATATCCATGATTCGTGGCCAGTCAATCGTGAAGGTCTATGAAGATTTCATACAAATTGACCCCCAACCCGAAACCCTTTTCCGTGATGATTCAGGACGGTCAGCCAGGCGTTCGCCAAGACTGCACCCTCCTGGACGACTCGGGAACGTCGGGCACGAGCCATGACTGCAAGAGACCGTCTCTCATACACCCAGAGAGCCCAATACCCCTTAATTAAGGAATGTAGCTTAAATCATAATACGAAGCCCCTTATAAATTAAGGTAGATTCCTTAATTAAGGGGTATTGGACTCTCTGGGCAGGCCACGAAGTGTTTGCGCCCGTAGGTTGTTTGCAATGAGCAATACTCAGGCGCTAAGGAGAGCAACCCAAACCCTAAACCAGCTTTCTAGACGCATGGTTCGGTGGACATTCTGTCGGTGCATGAGTGAATGTGCTTGCCTTCTAAGACCCGATCGTCCGATAATGTGAATTTTCTAGGGGCCTTAATAAGTACCTATAATATGCTGGGGTTTCCTTATTATATTTACAGCATGAAAAAACCCAAAGCCCTATTCTAATTATTAAGGTCCCGACAATACCATGCCATGTCATAGGATCTGTTGGCCATGAGGTCCTGCAAGCTGACGTTCTGGGAAAGCCAGCGCCGTGCTTAGCGCGCCTCCCACGATTTCGGTGGTACCAGCAAGACCCAAAGAGTCCAATAGCCCTTATTTAACGAATCTACCAGAAATTATACAGGGCTTAATATTATGAGGCTCTCTGGGGACCGACAATCGCTGTGTCAATCAGACTTGTAAAGTTCCTGCTCATGCTCACCATCATCGTCGCAGTCATCATGATTACACAAGCAGTTCTTTTCAGAAGCCATGACCATGCCGTGCACTTCAGACGGTGGAGACTGCACGGATAAAGCGCGCTGGATCCCAACGGGGATTCTCGCAACAATGCTCTCGAGCTGCCTCCTTGTGGTTCAAAAATAACCAGCTACCACTACACTGTTGGAACTAAAACGATCGTCGCAGTATCAAAGTCAGACCAGAGCAACCCCAAGCCCTAATCCCCTAAACTCCTAAACCCCTAAACCCTAAACCCCTAAACCCTAAACCCAAACCAAAAAGAAACTAGACCAAATCCCTAAACTCCTAAACCCAAAACCCAAACCCCTCAACCCTAAACTCGTTAGTGCAATCTGCGTCAGGCCGGACCTCCAAGCAGGAAGTGTCGGACACTGAGCGGTTTAACACAGGGGCGTTAAGAATTAGATTTAGGGTTTAGGGTTTAGGGTTCAGGGTTTAGGGTTTAGAAAGGAGTTCCTTTAAAGGGTTCTATACGCTTTACTATGGGGGTTATCAGGGGGCCTTAATGTTTGGACTAGGGTTTTGGGGTTTAGGTTTTACTTTTACAGAATAATTGCTAATAATAAGCAGCCCCAAGGAATAGCATTGGTAGTGGTTCCGGCCCCTGCATTAAGTTGTTCTGTCTTGCTTCCTCCGACGAGCAAGGCTTCGGGTTTAGGATTTAGGGCGACGCTTTGTTGGCTGGTTTGCAAACAGATAGCATATAGCAGAAACTCGAATCCTGAAGCCTGTTTAGTGACCTGACAGGGATCCTGATATAACAATCCTCAAGTATCACATCTGTTAGAAGCAAGAAGTTCAGAAAGAACCCTCGTAAATGCAATCCAGAGGTGATCAATCCTTTTTCTATGACTCCTCAATAAAAGACCGCCGAACACAAAAAAACCCTGCACTGATCGTGATATGTTATGAGCCCCTCAAACGAGTCCCTTAAAGGAACCCTTAAAGGAACCCTCAAACACCAGACTGCAGCTGCTGGCAAAGGAGGTTCTACTTTCTAGCCTTTCAGAGGGATATATTGCAAGTACCCTGAATCTTGCACACAAGTTCTCTACTATTCTATTATCTACTCTTCTTTAAGTGCAGACAGCACCATGACGGCTCGTCAATTTCCATTCAATCGACGGTGCCTTCTCAAGAGTTGCTTGCTGCTTTGGATTGCGTGCGACATCGGCTTGCTCTCGCAGGGCTTTGCTGGAGATGTGAAGCGCAGGTTTCGTGAGGGCACTGCCATTGGCTGTCACGCATCACGGTGTTGGAGTGCCTTTCGCGGCGCCGACTGCTTGGCAACGAGGATAAAGGACGCCTTTGAGGCTAGAATGAAAGCAGGGGACATCCACGTGCTGCGTTCATTGGAGTCATATGAACCGTCACTGCCAGCGAGAGAAGGCGATGATGGAGCAAGCAAGCTGTATTTACGGCCTTATTTCTGCCGTGAACATGGTTTGGATGTTGCCGTGAGCCGCTTACAGAGGACAGGGCAGCGCCGAGATCGCGTAGCTTACCTGTCAGCACCAACCATGCGGGGCAAGTCTGCCGCCATCCTTCCAATGTTTTGCCGAAGTGTAGAACTCGGCAGCAAGAACAGTTTCACCCACTACTTGTACATGCCATTTGCCAACAGCGATGGAAATTGCAACTCGCCTTAAGCTGGTTTGCTGATAGATTCCATCTTGGGAAACTCTGATTGGTGCGATGGTCTGGTGATGGAACGGGCGTATGCATGGGCGCTTAGCTGCAAAGCTGCGACATAAGCCGGACGCTTTCGAGTGAAAGACGCTGGGCGTGGGCGTGAGCTCCTTTTCCTGTGCAAAGAGCTGCGAGATGGAATCAAGCAGTTGAATGGGAAGAGCGCCAGAGTCTTCACAAAGAACGGAACACCCAGCATTCGTGGCATCCGCTGCATTGAGCATGGTGTCATGTATCACGCACTTTTCTGAAGGTGACAAGGCTGGCACCCACAAAGGCTTCGACCTGTGGTTCAAGACGAAAGTGGATGAGTTGGTTCGGAGCTCAGTTGCAATCCAAAATGGCACGTCACATTTCTGCCATGTGATGTTTATTGTTCTCGATGTGTGTTCCGGTGTCAGGTGCTGTTGGATGTGACCGGAGCTACAAATGCCAGAACCTGCAAAGTGAAGGCGGAACAAATTGCCGGGAATGCAGCTGCGGTGATGAGCACAGTGCAGATGCAGAAAGCGACAGTGCCTGTGGAATCAGGCATTGGTGTTCTCTTAGCTCCAAATTGCTACAGCGCCATCGAAGAACCACCGTCAGCTCAAGTGGTGCAAGCAGGTGCAGCAAGAGACCTATTGGGAGGCTTACAACAACTCTTGACCTGGCTTAGTGAAGATGATTGAGCTCTGTGAGGACACTTTCTCTCCTTCTCTTTCTCCGCAGAATTCATGCTGACTGCAAGACTTGGCTTGCCTGCCGGAGAACTGTAACCTGGAACGGAA